AGGAGCGAACATTTCTGGCACTGGAATAGCAAGTCGTTTTTTAAATTATATTTCTTTGTTACAGGTAAAAGTAGAAGGTATCGATCAGTATCGACGAGCATTTTCATTGAATTATCGAACTTCGGTGTGACTCTCATGTAGAACTTTTACACGTCTAGAGCTTCGTAAGATTATTGTAAGCATGTGTAGGAATATCTGTCGTGAAGTAAAGTTATTGTTTCCCCTTGTTTTGCTGTTGTCACCATAACGTGACAAAACAAGGTGTGGTAGGAAAAAATGCAATCAAAGAAGAACAAAAAATGGTGAGGTGGTGGAGCGGTTAGTGAGCTCGTCTCCGAAGCGGAAAGTCCGGGTTGGAGCCTCGGTTCAGTTACGGATTTTTTTCGCCCCTCCTGCCCACCTAGCAGTAATGAGTACCTGACTTCGAGTTCTAAAAGTAAAGGCGGCGTGGAAAGGAACTAGCCACCCTACCACAATATGCCGAAGGCCCCAGAAGTTGTCTCACTAACATGGCAATCCCCAATGTCCGAACTGGATGCAGGAACAACTTTATATACAGTATCGTGAACTCCGTTTTTCATACCAGTTAGACTTAAAAAAAATATAAAGATCAATAACAATGAGCAACAACACGCTTGGGGAGATTCTTGATCACCGTGGAGGTTGTGCTTTATTGTTTCGATGCTTCATTCTGATCGTCTTTACTGTCAGTGTCAAGAGCCACAGAGGAGTTTGTCACGAGGAAAATGAAGATTGGTGTCATAGTAGACGGCTATCGATTCGGAAAAGACAAAGACTCTTATTAAAACAACAAATTGCCGATGCTGCTGTTAATCATTTTTAACAACCGATCTCCAAAGACCAATTCTTTTTCGTGAGCCAAGTGAACCAAATCACGGTGCAGCAAGAGAAGCGGAAAGCAACTGAAGATTTGAAGGATCGGCGTATGATGCCTGTCGGACACAAAGGGGACGTACTATGAAAGGTTGGAATCGATTACCCTGAAAAGAAAAACTTCGTGTCTCTTCTCAGGGGCTGCTCGCTATTCCAGTGTAGTGTTGTAAAATACATTGTTTAATGAACAATGGCTATTCCAATGTTCTTCGCAAACAGACGAGACTTACGCTACGCTTGACCGCCTGATATCTGTAGACCGTGGTCAGTCACGGGACTTACTGTAGGCCGTGCCGCGGTAGACCGGCAGCTGAACCGGCACACAAGACGCCCGACCTCTCCGAACAGTACTTGTTTCTGACTGCGGTGGTCTTCAGTTTCCCC